CAGTTCGCCCGCTGACGAGCGCGCCGGGATAAAAGGGCAACCGAATCAGCAGAGGACGCCTCCCGCGGTTCTTTGTGCTCCCGAGAATGTGGGTGCGGCAGAACTGAGCAGCGATCGGGAACCCACCTGCAGACACAGACGCAGCAAACCTTTCCCTCCATCTTGCATCTGCAAGGACGTCAGGAACTGAGGTAGCGACAGCTCTGTTATCCTGTTCCCTGCGCAGCATCATCAGGCAAGTGTCAATGGACAGCAAAGCCCCGCCCCCGCATTATTTCCGGTTCCTTTCGTCAGCCCGACGTTCTGTCGGTGACCGCCGTGTTTGTCGGCCCGCCTCGGCGAACGGAGCGGCGCCACCAATTGCGGCCACGCGCGTACGCTGACCTGCCAGGCTGAGCGAGGCCAGAGTCGTGTTTCCGGGCAGGACGAGCTCTCCGTTCCTCTGCTGCACAGATTCATTCAGGAGCGGGCTCACCATCTCCACTGGCTTTTTGTGCTGGCGGAGAAGGCGGGGACACAAATGCGCCTCGAATGCCATGCTTGGGCCTATTCTGGGCAGATCACAAACTGGACCCCCCCCCCCCCCGCCCAAAAAAAAAATGCAAACATGTTCTTGTACCTCCTGATCATACACGCAGTTTTTCTCCTCGGCGTCTTGGCCTTCCGCTGCAACACATGAAAGGAAACGCGCGTTGGACAATCGGGCGTGAAAGCGCACCCGGCCAAGCGGTTCGGGGCGTCGAGGCCCTTACATTTCTTGAGACATTTGGGGTCTTTGGTGGGAGCCCGTTTGCCCTCCGCTTTTGACGAGTCCTGCGATAGATGAGACTTGTGGTCAAATGGCACCAAGTTGTCAGCCTTTGAACTTTGCTGCGTCCGTCGTCCTACCCGTTTTTTGACCAGATTTTTGGTCTCCCCTTTGTTGGAGCCGAGCGAAGCGCCGCCGGCCAAAGACGGCAGTTGGTCACTGGAGAGCTTGGCGACGCAGGATTGGTCGGCGTCCGCCGCCGCCGATGACTGACAAGCGAGGGAAAGGAGCATTATGAGATTGCTAATTGTCACTGAGTAGGGACCCACATGTGTTGTTTTGGTTTTTTGGAACCAACTCCAAATATTCACTCCGCGTCGCTTGCTCAAAAGCACTTTCCTGTGCCGTTCATCACGGACTTAAAGACGGGAATAGTCGGAGCCGATTTCCCGGCGCTCCGATGGGGAAAACCGGTTGGCAAATACAAGGTCAACACATATCGCGCCCGGGGCGTTTGACCCCCTACGTTCCACCCTCAAAACGACTCACCGAATGTCGTTTTTCCAGAAGTAGTTTCCTCCTCTGCACGATTTCTTCATGAGGTAGCACAACCTCGCCAAAAACCTGATGGAGGCAGACACTCATTCAAGCGCGTCCCACGGTGTCACTGTGTTTGAAGAAGTTCTCTTCTGTCGGCAACTACCGCGGCCAGTTTTGTCGCTCCCGAGTCCCCGATGTGATTGTTGGACAGTGAGAGGAACAGCAAGGTGCGATTAAAGCGTAGGCCCTGCCGCGAGAAAAATCTCGTGAGTTGTCAAGTGTTCGGAGGAGAGCGCTTGTTCACTCAGCTGTACACCTCCGATGACGTCATCTGGTGGCGCTTATTTAATTGTCATTTGTATTTTTTTTTAATCTGCTGCCGCTAGATGGCGTTGCTTCTCGGCTACCCGTAGTAAAAGGAGCACCACACTTTGGCGATCGTTCGACCTTCTTTCTTACGGCTAACGGCCGTGCTATCGCACCGAAATGCGTTTCAAAATCAAAGGCTCATGGATTCAATTCCTTCTGAAAAATACAAAGGACATTTTGATTCAAATTTGTAGACACTGTAATGTTCATTTCATTTATGTATGTGTTTATTTATTTTCCCTGAAGCAATTTTGTTTCCATTATATTTCATTTAACGTTTTTTTTTGTTTTTGGTTTTTTTTGCCAATTTCAGTTTGAAGGATCTCCTTCGTCTTCATCGACTAAAAGAACCGTGGAACGGATTCTGGGTCATTACCTTTGCAATGTGTCCAGCGCCGACATCGCCAATGTGGTTGAACGAGAGGTTGAGCGAGGTGAGATTCCAGTTTGCGCAGGTGCTGGTTGAGAGAGCAGCCCCGAGAAGACGTGCGCCCTCATCTTCAATTCGGTTGTTGCGAAGGTTCAAGTGAGTGAGGCTTGAAAACAAAGAAACACAGGCCACCAAAAAGGACTCCCCGGTCGTGCTTGACATCTGAGGCTTTGTGGGTGTGTAAGGGGGCGGGGCAGGGGAGGCGGGCTAGTCCTGAAAGAGTGTCAGGTGTACTCACGCGCTTCCTTCGCAAAACAGAAGGTGGTGGTTGTTATCCACCAGTGGATTTCCCTCCAATGTAATAACTCTATCCAAAAAAAAAAAGGGCGGACTGATGAAGTCATGCTGCGGAGTATGAATTCTTAACATTCCCAACGGGGAGGGAGCAAAACAAACCAACCAACAAACAAAGGAAAAAAGAATGAGTGCGCTTCGCTCACCTGAGGGTCACGCATACACACACTGCGTTTACGAGGGCGATGACCATGGAATCCGTCAGCCCGGCCTGCCAAAAACTGCCCAAGCGTCGACACTTTTAACACAGGCGCTGCCTGTCGAGTGTGCGGCGACGCCTCTCTCGCCCGGCCTCAAATGACTTACTAAATGGTGTGAAGAGTAGACGAGCACGAAATCATCTTGCTCAGTACTCGGACGATGGGTTCATCTACCGTCCAGCCTGTGAACAACCGTGCGGGGAGGATACGAGCTTTCGTGATCGAACCTCTTATCTTCTCCACCACCTGTCTCACAAATCATTCTCGCAGCCGACGGCGTCGTTACACTGACGGTAGGTTCTTGCAAAATGTCACTACCGACTGTTTGGGCAATTATGGGATGGTGAAGAATCGAGGAATTCCGTCAGCGGGTGACCAAGGTGTGTGGTGAGCGCCAGTCCTTACCAAAGATCTTGATGCTCGATGTGCAATAAGGGTCTCCGTTCTCCAGCTCCACTTGGAGGTGTGGCTTAAACACATCGTGTGCGGGCTTTTTGTGGGACTGCCTGCCACCTGAAAATGACATCATACGCTTATTATTCATGTGATTGCATTTAGACAAGACAGTAACCCGCGGGCTGAAACGGAAGATGCGCCGATAGAACTCAAGTGCAGTACAAGGGCAGTTGACCTTCATTTTTGTTCAGTTTCTTCGGGCCGAACCTGATTCGGTTTACGCTATTCAAAAGTATTACTTTGCTGCCATCGTTTGGAATATTGGTGTCAAGAAACTGTTGAAGTCAGAGGAGTGTCTTTCCGAACAAAAGTATTGCTTTGCCCCCATCTTGTGGCATCTCTGTGCAATCACGTTTTGGGTGAGCGGCACTCAAAGAAAAAAACAAAAAAAAAACAAAAAACCGCGTGGACCAGATGCAGCTACCTGGTCAATGCAAGCGCGCCCCGCGTCTGCCCAAAACGGCACAGATGAATACCTGAAAAAGCAGGTCGCTCGAAATCAGTATTTCATTTTTCATCAGGCGGCGCTTGTGTTTACCTGTGGCGCTTTCTTGGTTGGAGGAGCTGGATTTGGTCTTGAGAGCTGGGATATTTTTCATATCCAAAAGAGCGCACAGGCCAGGAAAGTCAGTCATCACATTGCCAGAACACTCATAGTCGTCTGGGAGAGATAGGGTAGCATTTAATACCGGTTTTCAGACTCCATGCCACAAAATAAATAAATAAAAATACTGTACGTACATAGATTCATAGATTTTTTTTCTTTTTTTTAAGGACTTGTGAATAATGATTTTCTTTAAACGGCACTCACCAAAGGTTCGAGTGGCTGAAGTTTCAACCGGAGTTGCTCCTGTGACACAATAGACCAGATATTTGATCTTCGAAACAAAATAATGTATTTTACAGACAGACAGACAGATGGATAGACGGACAGACTAACGTATCCCTTTATACTCAAGACTCTTATCTCGCGATCTATCTGGCTAGCCAACTAGCCTATTCTATTCTATTCTATTCTATTCTATTCTATTCTATTCTATTAATCGACCTGTTTGTATTGGCGCCGATTCTTCAGCTTCAGAACTCTTCTCGGACTTTTCTTTCGCCGGTTTCTTTCTCGCCATGTTTGTCCACTTTAAAATGTTGCCAAGGAAGTCTGACTCACGTAGCTAGGCAACGCGAAACCGAGGCATCGCGAGATTTTGTCTACCGTCGTGCTCGCCGACACCAAAACGTGGACGCTAGGAGAGAACGGCCTGTAGTTTAGAGTAAATATTTATTATGGCCTCTTCTAATTCATTTGTATGTGAAAATAATGAGCGTTTGTGCCTTGATAGTCGCGTTCAAATTACGTGGCAGGAGCATCTCCGAAGGCAGGTGTGACCCAGTCACCTGCTCCCAAATCGATCGCGGGGGTCAAGGGTAGATAGTAAAAAAAAAAAAAAAAAAGGACGTGTCTCTGTGCGGGTAATTTATATTCTATTTTTTGTGTTAGGGCACACTGCACCCTAAGCATCCTCTCAGTTTAAGTTCACAAAATAAATAAATACAACAATACAACAAAGCAGGTCACCTTTAACCTACGGCGGTGCGTGACCTGCATCACCGGAAGTTGAAGATCTTTTTTTTGGGGGGGGGTCACTTTTCCCCCCCCGAAAGAATGCATCTTTCATTATAAACAATGTAGAATAGCATGTTTTAAGTATCAAATCTCCAATATTTATAAAGGGGGACTGAATTTCGTTTGACTATTAAAGTACCATGAGTGACATCTTAGTCAATAAATGTTTTATCTGCGTCTGTCTCCATCACGTCAGGTGGGGTGAACGAATTCGATGTCCTCAGTCTCACATGTGAACAGCCTCGAGTAAAAATTTGACTTTCACAACTGCAGCATGAAGACGTGGCGAGGCTTCTTCCACATAATTGCTTGAAGGAAGGACCATGTACAAAGAACATAGCGTACAATAACGTAGTGCTTTTTATTAAAAAATCAAACAAAACAAACAAATATAAAACAAAAAGTAAAAACCAACAGCATATTTTCATGACTTAAGAATCATAATTACAAACGTTTAACGAGTGGGGAGAGTTTTTGACAAACTGTACACGTCACAAAATGTCAGCCGATTTGCCATTTACAATGCTTGCATCTTATTTTGTGATTGTCTAAAAATAACTAAAGAAATCACAGAAAACGCACAAATACAAGTACAAGCATCATACACTGACTGCTATCACAAAAGGGAACCATTTCCGATTTGAAAAAAAAATAACAGGAACGTGATAATGGTCTGATGGGTTCATTTTTGTTTTTATCACTGCTCAAAAATACTATAACCTTTTTATGTTGGCTAGCTTTTTTAGTGTTCAACACTTTGCAGCAAAAAAACAAAACAAAAACAAAACAAAACATAGGAGTATACTCCCCCTTAATAAAAGCAATATTAGTAACAATGTTCAGTGGCAAGGGTGTTGCTGTGTCACTGCCGTGGCCCGCTGCCTTGTGTTTGGCTTGACATTCTTCTCGCTCATGCACAACATTTACATGAATTTCTGTTATAGGCAACAAAAGTTGGGCTTCTAAGTTGTCAGGGAAGTTAGGGTGAGAAGTTTAAGTGTCTTCATAATAGCAATACAAAGCCATTGAAATATTAGCATGATCATAATAATCGCAATACATTTAGGGCTGAGTCCTGTACAGTACAATAACAAACGAATTCATTTTATCCAAGATATTGCTTTAGGAGAAACCCCTCAATGTAAAGCGTGTCTATATACACAACTTGGCACACTGTACAGCTGAAGCATTACAATTGTCCATCCTCAGTGTCATTTTAATGGATTCTTAGTCAGTTTACAACATTGGGACTCCGTCGCTCGTCCCTTTTGGGCGGCGGGGGTGTGGGGGGGGGTCGCATCAGATAACACTAATTCTTTTCAAACATTCTCCATGGCAACAAGGGACAAAGAGACCAAAGTTAATTTTTCTCCCTATATACAGTATTCACTTGTCTCACAGAATATAAGAAAATACGACCATCACGATACATTTCATGTTAAGCAATGCTTTCCATAGTTTTCTGAAAACTGTTAATTGCCATTAAGCCCTTGTTTTTTTTTCTTTAAAAAAAAAAATGGAACTCTTCAGGAAATTGTGTCGCCTGTATAGATGCACAGAAAGTGTGTGTAATGCACACTGAAAAACGGGCAGTTAGAGAGCACAACCGAGTAAGGCGTTACAGTTGAAGCCCATGTCCCTCCCACCTGATTTAGTTAAGCTGGTGAATCCATCATTTGAAAAGCCGACCGTCGTACAGGGAGGGGAAAAAAAAAAAACGGAAAATCCAAACCTCAACAATACACTTGACAAAAAGCGCTCAGTCTTCCCTCCCTCCCTTTAGGAACAAACAGGCCTAGTCTGGGTCTACATGAGTAAGTTAAGTACAGTATGCTAGGGAAAACGTAATTGACCCCCCCCCCCCACACACACACACACGCAGCATCATCAAGCACTATTTTAGTGTGTTTTCAATACAGTTACATTACATCGAGATTCACTATATCCATGGTACCAAAAGTGCAGTCTACCTACCTTTTTTTCCCCCCCTCTTCTCACGAGCAGCATCTTGCACCTCTACTTGTTTACTTCCACTCCAAAAATTCCAGCACGCGCGCACGCACACACACGCGCACGCGGTAGTGTCCCTCATTTGATGCACTGACATTGCAGCATGGTCCCACAAGGGCGAGCAAGTCTCCAGCATTCTTATTTGCACTGAGTGAGCGATAGCCATCAGTCAGCGTGCTACTCCGTACCAAATGTGTCATTTCAGTGGATGTGTGGGCTTTTTGTCCCATGGGTTCATCTGACAAGCGCTCCTTGGAAATGTAATGGACATAAACTCGGAGCTTCCAAACCCCCTCCACCGTCTCAAGAGTTGAGATGACCAAGTCCTGGAGGAGGTATACCGGGAGGTCCAAAAGACGCATTATGGTCTGGAAGGGTTTGGATGGCCAACTAGAATCATTTCCTTTGTGATCATCTCCCTGCGCTTCAGAAAGTGAAAGACAGTACCTTGCCTGGCATGTTGAAATGTTACTTTCTGTCAACAAATATCACCACATCCAAGTGTCTGTTGCCGTAGGCGCCGCCCTGCACCCTCCTCCTCCTCCTCATCCTCCTCCAGGAGATAAGTGACATCTACGGCTGTGGGAAGAACACAAAAAGGGGACACTTAGGAGCTTGGACACAAGGAGCTGAAAGGTGAGGTCAAAAATCAAAGCAATTATCTTCCAAAAGGGGCTCTCTCCTTTCAGTGGCGTGCACAAAGTGCTCACTGTTTGATGGCATCGTGACACGTTTGCCTAGCGAAATGTCCCCCCCCCCCCCAAAAAAAAAGCCCTCCCCCGAAGTCAGCAATTTAGTCACAGATGGGTTCAGATATCATTTTGGGTAGGGTGCTTAGTCTTAGTGAGATGAAATCTCCCTGCTATATTGTATTCTTCCTTAGAATTAAATGCACCTGAAACATGTTAGCTCCTCGATCCGATTTTGGCCATGCTTTGTCAGCAAATTCTTCTTCAGAGATTCCTGCAGACACATCACATTGAACAAGGTGTTTTGGTGTTTGGGGATTCATTGAGTTGATGCACAAGTTTCATTACGGTACCTATTTAAAAAAAAAAAAAAAAAGTAATCATTTTTGCAATGTAAAAGGGATCAATGAACGCGACATGATAGTATGCTACTATAAATGTAATTATGCTTGTGGAAAATGAAAATGTTTAGTCTTGTTCCGAGTGCGTGTTTTAGATGTTTCCCTCCTCCAACACATTGATTCAAATGATCAGGATCGTTCAAAGGTTTCCGCAGAAGGAAAACGTCAAAAATGCAGGAGTTGTCCCGTTAATATAATCATTTCTAATCCAAATGCATGATGTGGAACAGTAATCGTTTGACTAAACATTATGGCAGAAAAGAATACGATGAATCATTCTGGTTTTAAAAATCAAACATCAATACATAGGGCACCGAATGTTAAAAAGTAAAAAAAATAAATAAAATGAAAGAAGAAAAAAAAAAAAGCAAGAGGTTGCATTTCTGCAGGAAAAGCGTGGACTAAGCAAAAACCACCAAAATGTCCCATCTGTTAGACACATTTTCCGAGGCACAATATGTTAGAACTGGGCTGTGTGAAAATAGTTTGACAGTTTCCAATTTCTCAGCCTTTTTTTTTTTTTTTTAAATGACTCTTATTTTAAACGCCACCTAAAGGGAGGCGCATTCTACGAATGAATAAAGCGAAGCCCCGCATCCTCTGTTGACCGAGCACCATCCCTGTGTGCCTGATTCCTCACCATTCTTGCTGGGTGTTCTGTGTAGCAGATCCAAGAGAATCTTGTTGAGCCGCTCCCTTTGGGCCTCCCTCCTGCCCAGCGCAGGGTGGCGAAGCGGGGAGCAGGCTGACGAGGACGGCTGCTCGGGCATCTCCCCGATCCTCTCGGTGGAGCCCTCCCGCTGCTCCTTCTGTTCCTCCGCCTCAGGCCCTTGCCCTTCAGCCCCCTCTTCATCTTCATCGTTGTCCCCTTCTGCTGGCGGAGGCCTGCCCGCTAAAAGTTGAGGAGCGCCCGCGGCTACGTCCACGTCCTCCTCCAATCTCCTGTCTCCAGCCTCTGGTGGAAAGCCATCTCCCCGCTCGCATGAAGAGCCGTCGTCCTCGCAGCCGGCGGATCCTTTGGAACGCTCACTCTTCCATGCCGAGCGGCCCCCATTCCTCTTGTAGTTGTCAGGAACGTAGTGAGGCTACAACAGACAATTAGTCAATTAACATTCACATGTAGGGGATTTAAGATATCCTTTATTTGTCCCACACTGGGGAAATTTACAAGATTTAAAGTGCATTTCTCAGATAAGGGTAAATAGTACTCCACCCATTGCCCAATTGGGGAGGGGGATACCCAAAATGTTGGGTTGTAACACTCAAGTCCATTCCATGCATTGTTTTTCAAAAGTACACAACAGAACTATGAGGCACCCATGCTAACGCCACAAAGTCTGCTCCCTTTTTTTTTTTTTTTAAGAGCATCTGTACCAGAGCCAGGGAATGCATGCGTCTGTCTTACCGAGAAGTCTCTCTTGGGTGTCAGCCGCTTGGGGAAATGGTTGAAGGCGTATGGCTTGGTACACACTGGGTAGCGGTTCCGATGTATTTTGTAGAAAAGGTGAGCTGATTTGTCCAAGCGGTAGTCACAGATGTACACATCTGGCTCTTTCACCCCCTTTGGCCGGCCTTGAAGCAGACAATCAAGTATATTGGTCAAGTCACGTGAACAACTTGACAATGAATCACATCCGAGCGCTTTCTCACCTTTGCAGTACGTGTAGAGATCAAGGACGCAGCAGGTGGCGACCACCGCTTCAAGGGGGATGATCTCGTAGAGTGGCATGCGAAATAACTCGTTCTGGTAGAACCGGCGCGATGGCGAATGGTGTGTCTCGTGAGGACGGAAGTAGTGGTGGCCAAAGGCGAACCGCTCACCCCTTCAGGGTTGGGTACAAGTCACAGCATTGCACAAATGTGACATGACCAAATCGCAAGTTTCATCAAATGACAAATGACACACATGAGGACGTTAAGTGTATCATGGCTGGTACGAGACCCTAAAAATGCATCAACCCGCTCCACGCATAGGTAGTTGAGTTCACCAAATTACTTTTCGTTCTTCCAGAGTTTCTCGATGCGGAAGATGTCAAGTTTGTCCCGGTTGACGTGAGAGAGGAGGCGGTAAGACTGTCTGATGGGCTGGCCCTCGGGTGTGCGTCTGCTGTCTCGCATCAGGTACACACAGTCGCCTGCGCGGAGAGGAAGTTTACTTTCCAAAAACCTCTCGGTATCCCGTGCGGTTCAACAAAACAAGACCAACCCAAAATACAGGGCGCATACTCAACCGGCTTCTCAATACCTTGGTGCAGAAGCAGCTCATCTCTTAGGAGGCAGATGTAGTAGACGGAGCCAGCCTGGGCGTAGCTGGGTTGAGGTATCATGGGGACTTCCTTTACCGCGGAAAACAACAAAGGCGGAATGAATTGTAATGTGCAAGTTACGTGAAAAGCTGGCTTCGCCTCAGCATGCTGCTCTGGAAGCCTCTCGCGTTGCAGACATACCGTGTCCACAGGCCTCGGCTCACACTCCTCACACAGATAGTGCTCCACTTCCGTCTCCAACCGCATGCAGTCGCAGTGTTGCCATACCTTCAACGAAAACAAGCAGGCTCCCGTCACACGTCGAAAAAATAAAACAACAACAAATTGGTCCACAAAAAACCCTGCAAACGTGGCTGGCTCTCACGCTTGCCGATGGCTGGAACGGATGATTTCTATGTCTATTCATTTTCATGGAAAAAAACATTTTGGTCTCAGAACAAACAACGGCTGAGAACCAACGGTCCAAAGTACTCAAGTAGTAACTCACAGGGAGGGAATGACACTGATATGATCACCTCGCTGACCAAACTGTCCGTCTTTGCCTTTGGCGCTAGAGTGGAATTCGAGTGCTAAAAAGGAGGATTGCTTATTTTTCTTTGGCTCTCCAACAGGAATGACCGAATTTAGTTTTGATACAATGACTGATTGAAAAAGGTCCAATCACATGGAAAATGTCTGATTTGGCTCTGGCGCTCCCCCGCTCCTTACCATGCACTTTTCACACTGGATCATCAAGCCTTCGTCCTTGTACATGCCACAGATGCAGCGGATCACGTCGTCGTCCTTGTCGTGGGATCCCGAACCTCCGGGTTGGTGGCCCCGGTCGCGCTCCAGCGAGTCGGAGCTGTCGGCCTCACTGGCCGTCTCGCCCATAATCTCATCGATCTGCACGGCAGCCTCGTTGCGGGCACTGTAGTAGGCTTTGCGCAGCCGGCACACGTCCCTGCCGATGGACGACTTTCGGCCATAATATTTCTAAGAGGGGAAACGAGGCATTCGTGAGAAATCCTGTTGGGAAATGTGAGAAGGCACACAACTCCAACCTCACAATTCCAATTAGTAAAGCAACAGCCAAACAAACCCTTCTGAAAGGCCAAAAGAAGAGCACGGCATGCTCTGCTGCTGTCGAGTAAGAAGAGGCTTCGGAAAAGCCCAACCTGCTGCACTGGTTCAATTCAGGCAGTCCCCACACTAGTTGTAGGTGGGGGAAAGGTTGTACCTCGTCTTAACAGCAACATTTTTTCCTTCCAATGTCCATCTACAACTTTTTCAGCACGAGGCCACTGCCACATGCTCCGTTGGCATTATTCTGAGCAAAGGGTGCTACGTTCACTGGAGCACATAACGGGACACCGCCTACCTCAGCATTGCGGAACACTTTGAGCATGTCGGTGTCGAATGCTTCAACGGTCTTGTAATGGCCCGTGAGGATTTGTTTCTCGATGGTGCTCAAGTCCAGAGGGTCCGACACCTTCTCGTAGTAATGGCTGTTCCTAAGAATGCAAGATTGCACAAAAAAAAGGAAAAGAAAAGAAAGAGCATGTCTCTTCAAACCTGCTTACTAAAGCAACAAAAACTCACATCCAAATGAAGGACTTTATGCCATGAATGGGCTCACGTTCATACCTTTTCCGTGACGGGAGGTTCAACAGTGGAGCAGCGAGCGTCTGGCTGGATGAATCTGCGGTAGAAGTAGCAGACGAGAAGTCTTGATAGAATGTCGAATTGGGGATGGGCCAGGGACAGCTTCTGATCCATACATGTTTACATGTTCAAATAGCGTTCTGAGCTTGACTAGGACGAGTTTGTTTGAGACAATTTCAGGCAGACTGAACCAATAAACCGATAAATACTCTGGCTATAAGTCAGCTCAGTGTTTGGGTCACAATGCACATGCGAGATATAAAGGGCAGCGATACAACCAAAGCGCAAAATCGGGACTAACCCTTGTAGCTGGTAATCATGTCGCAAATCTCCTTGAAGATATGCGCGAGGCGAGCAGTGCGGGTGACTTCTGTGTTTTCTTCAGCGGCGGCAAGCCTGCGCGTACGCACCGACCGTGACGTCTGCAGGGCTGAGAACTGCGTGAGGAAAACATCTGGAGGCGGGATACAAGCGTGTTAGCTCTACATTCGACCCACTTTGACTCTGCAAGTCATGTCTGGCTGGTCACGATGAATAAAACGAAATTGATCACGCTCACCTGACTTAATGTTGCCGTCATCACGGATGACACCTCCCCAGCGAGTGTATATGGACAGGCTGCCGGGGTCTCTCTCTCTTTCACCCTCTCGTTTGAGCAATTCCTGTTTTTCCCTCATTTTTTCCCAGTTCCTCAGGAGGAACACTCGATGCTTGAGCACAAAGTTCCTAATGATTGAGAGAGGGGTAGAAGGGAGCAAGATGTCGTTAGACTCGTATTGATTTTCCGAAAACTCACCTTAGAAAAACTCGTTTTTAGTCTTTGGCTTCTGACTCAGCATGAGACTTGATTTTTAGTGTGGCAGTTTTTGTGTGTGTGTGTGTGTGTGTGTGTGTGTGTGTGTGTGTGCGTGTGTGTCTGCTTTCTACTGTCTTCGTTATTCATTTGTTTGATTGTTTGTTGCTATATGAATTCTTTCTGCTGCATGTACAGCACTTTGTATGCAAGGTCATAATACAAAATACAAAATCATGTGCGACGTACCTCTCTCTGTTTGACATGGGTTTCATAAGATGAGGGTAAAACTTGTTGCTATCGCTTGATTCTTCCTCCTGAAAACAAAGAAAAACGTCATTTATTTCCACAGATTTTAAATGTTCAGGGTTAGATCAACTTTTAAAAATTTCACCAGTCAGATTAAAGTGTCGACATGCATTTAAAAAAATGTTTCGTGTCTTTTGAATGCATGTAAACAGCAGTGTTCAATAAATGTTGTACCTGATCTTTTTATTCATCTTACAAGGAACTATTAGCAGGCAAATATCAATTCCACCGAATGTGTCTTCTGACACCAAAGGTTGCGCTCACTCGTTTTTTAAGTTGGTGTTTGGATTTCCGTTTCTCCTTGAGTCGACCCAGTCGCCGAGTACCAGCCGCCTTGCCAGGCAGTCCATTGACGCGCTGGCTTTTCCCGCCGATGATGCCTCTGCAACTCTCTGAGCCACACTTACAGACTTGCTGCGAGGAAAAACGATCGCGATATCAAATGGACGACAGAGATTTGAGGCAGGCGACAACAAAATGCGTCACGGTAAACTACAACAGCAATGAGAAGCCTGCCACACTACAGGAAACATTTCAACATGAGCATCTTGTCAGTCACCTGTTCCTCCGTGTTGAAGGAATGGAAGTTGTAATCGTAGGTGAGCTCGGTACCGCTGCTGATGTCCTTGAGCGCAAAAAGACCAATTCTGTACACCCCGTTGACTGACCTGCAAGTCGCAAGGACTGAGTGAGTGCACCTTCCTCATATAGAGCCACATAACTACCGGTACATAGTGTACCAGAAAGCACAAGGACATTTTAGGAATTAGCCACGGCAGACACTGCCGCTTGGAGGTGAAGGCAAGCGTTCTGTGACCATGCGCTGAGTTTATGGTCGCCCCCCCCCCGGCCCCCAATCTGAAAAAAAATATTCAATGAAGAGGTTTCCTTACGTGGGGTGGTTGGGAATTGGCATTTGGTTCTTGGAAGGCATTCTGTTTGACTTTCAAACATGTCTGCATCGAATGAAGATGGAACTTGGCAGTAGGGCAGAAAACGAAAATGTCTGGACACCGCAGTTGTAACCGAGGCCAGGCTGCGAGTAAGCTCGCGCCGCTTTATGAAAAGACTGATGGCTCTTGAGTGCTTAGAAATCCTCCAGCGCCCGCGAGGTTTTTGTTTTAGTCCAGCTCCTCTTTATTACACGCACACCCACGTGCAACCACCCGTTCCCCAGATTATAGGATGGGCCAAGTGGGAGAAGAGAGTACAACTTCACGCGGTCAACTATCTAAAGTTGGAAGGTGTCTACAACTAAACATGCTGGGTTGGTTCAAACTCAAAAGTCAAACGCGCAAATCCATCAAGCAAGCTGACTGCTGTGAATTAAACTAATTAAAAACACACACCAAAAAAAAAAAAAAAAAAAAAAAAAGAGTCCCTCAGGAAACTTAGCGCACACCTTGATATATTTCATCCAAATTAGATCCAAACTAACTGCAGACAACAAATCAAATGTAAAAGCAGGTGTAATAAATGACACAACTTTGACTGCGTATGTCTTTGTCTAATGGCATATTTTGTTTGGGTCATTAATAGTTGCCCTTCAGCCAACCGCCTGTGGAGAAGATAATGTAGAAAAAAAAGGCCACCGCTGCTGCTGCTACTACTCCTAATAATAATAATAATAATAATAATACTTGGAGTGCATTGAGCAAAAGGGATATGCGTTTCATACCTTTCATGATGATAGAGGCCATGATAGGATATTGGCGGGCTTGCGAGTGACAAGTAAATATGTGCATGCACAATAAACGGCCTGCTGATTTTGTACCAAAAAGACAACTTGATCGACGTATCACTATCTATAGCCTGTACTCTTTTAAACGTAGTTAGGAAACAAAACAAAAACAAAAAGTAACATGATGTTTGTTTGTTTGTTTTTTTAAATCATCTGTACGCTGCTTGATCCCTCAATGACACTTACCACTTCTGCATCTCACAGTTGGGCTCACAGCTGTGGTTTATGAAGCGCGCCTCATTGCCCATTCTATAGCTGTCAATCACCATGCCACTATCGAGATTCAGACAGTAGTGGCCGCTGTGAGCAAAGTACTGCTGCATCATACGACTCCTGAAGCATGATGATGGAGAAAGAAAGCGAGATCAACATGCAGGAATTCATTTTCACTCGGTTCCCACCACATGGCCAAGAGCAGTTCACCTGAACTCATGTTCGCTGACCACTTCTCCCAGGTACTCAATAATGAACTGCCCAGAGCGGAGACTCTCCTTGGTGCGGATGCCCCAGCCCTTGCCCTCCGCACGGAAACGCTCCAGACACTGAACCCATTCGTGCCTCTGGATATGCTGGTTGTCGCAGTGCTCACGACACGGGCAGGTGCTGGGAGAGCACTCGGCAAAGCTCATCCTGGCCAAATGAGACATTGTTAGCGACATTCATTTGACCCCCACCGCAGGCAGGATTGTTATGACCGAGGCCGAACACGAAACATGACTCTTTGAAGACCTTAGCGCAGGGGTGTCAAACTCATTTCACATGGTGGGCCACATACGGCCTCGGTAGATGTCAAGTGGGCCGGACCATTAAAATGATACAATGCTTTGCTATAAATAACCAAAACAATATGTCTTTCCTTTGTTTTGGTATAAAGAAGCACAAGAACATTAGGAAAATGTTGAAATTAAATGAACATATCTTTTACAAAACATTTCATGAAGCACCTTACATTTCCTTCGACAAATGTGCAATTTACTTTTATCATTCACATATATGCATTGCAACTGATCCCACTGATTGTACAAACTTTAACAAGTAATTGGTATTGAAAAATATAGTAATGCACTTTAAGATTAAACAAGATTCATAAAGAAAGCAAGTTTTAAAGCATTTACACGTGCATATAAAATCTAAATGTAATCCCTGCCTACACCTTACAAACTAAGGAGAGTGCTATTAAATGTGTAAAGTTGCGATGGCTGTTGATGTCGTCTGCTGTCATGGGTCTGTCTCAGTGACAGACTGAGGCTGCTGTTGTCTTCTTCTCTGATCAAAACAGTGTCCCCTTGCGGATACTCAATGAATTGCACCTGATTAAAAATATTAATTCTTTAATGCATTTTTTTCACTTTTACATTATCCTGCGGGCCTGATTGAACCTACTTGCGGGCCGGTTCCGGCCCGCGGGCCGTATGTTTGACACCCCTGCTTTACATAATCATCTCGCGGGCCGGATTAAACTCCTTTGCGGGCCGGATCCGGCCCGCGGGCCGTATGTTTGACACCCCTGCCTTAGCGGCACTGCCAAAGTTTGACTGTACCTGTTGAGGCAGTCATCCAGACAACCTTTTTCACTGCGATTCTCAGGGGTTTTGCAGTTGCATGTCGTCGTTTCATAGCCGGAGAAAGGCTTGACATCAACATACACGTCTGTGACACAAACAAGAGAGCACAATTTTACACGGCCAGTTACAGATGCTACACAAGGAGGCGTTTCCAGGCGAGACAACATTACATCGTATCAACCGAATCAATACAATCGCGACATGTTCAAATTGCATCCCGCTTAGAATGCCACAACGAGCAACGCTCGACACTTACTTGATCTGATCTTTTTGTAAAGAGGGACGTCAGGCCTTTTGTATAGCTGGAAAACAAAAACAAAAGAAACAACCCCAAAATAAAATCAAAGATGAAGAGAAGCTTCATACGAAAAAGAAGCGATTGGGCCAGTTCCCAAAGGGTCTGGAGCTCACGAAACACTACAAAGAAAACTAAAATGAAATGTACGGTGCTCATCACAATTGATCACCTGATCGTGTTTCCACAGCCATAGGATGTCGTACGGCAACTGGAAATCAATGCGCTTCTGTCTCAGGTACTTTCCTGAAACGTCACACAAAGTAAACAAGCAAAGCCTTGAGAAACAAGGAAAAGTTGTGGTGTTGATTTGTTACTCAAAGGATCGTAAAGCCCTGCAAATGAAAACCGGTTCGCTTCCAAGCACAGACATACAAATGTGACCGATCAGTCAAGCCACAACTGGATACATTTGTCAGGTCTGCTGCCTGACTTAGGAAAAAGAAGAAAAAGAAATAGCTTCGTGACTCACCAACATGTATGGGTGCCGGAAATAATCCGTAATCATGTTCCCCAGGTATGTACTCAAGCTTCTCTTTCTTTAGCTGTAGAAGCTGACTGCGGGGACTGCAAGCAAGAGCAACGAAACAATGTAGACCATGCTCAATGGAAAGGGCTGTCAAGAAGCAAAAAAAAAAAAAAAAAAAAAAAAAAAAAAAAAAAAAAACAGTCTTACTCCTCGGTCTTGAACACATCCGAGTAAAGTCCAGCCTTCTGGAACTTTTTCTTTGGGGGCCTGGCTAGTCTCTTTTCCCGTGGGCCGGTGAGGGGGATGGCTGATGCTTGTTCCCTGGAGGCTGGGTCTTGGCGTTGTGGGGAGAGGTGGCCATCTGGCTTACTCTCCACTGAGCTAAAACAGAACCACCATTTGGTTGATGCTGACATGCGAGAGAACGACATTCTTTCACACCTACATTAGGGGTGTTCACACAGCAACTTTTACTCCGGTATAGCAGCGGGATGTATCGCAACACAATACATCGGTGCAGCACCGATGCAAATGTGTGCCGTGTGAACAGCCCTAAAGTCAAGTGGAGAGAACCACTCTTGTTCAAGTTTTGGTGATGGAAAAACACTTCCTTCCATTCACGTGACGGATAAGCTTGTGCGATTCAATTGAAAATACTTGTAAAAGGTCAAAGTAAACACCAGGGATCGTGTGGTTACCGTGTTCCCAATGAACGCATCACATTGACAATGTTAAAGTGGAGTGAGCGCGCACCTGCCACCGATTTAGGTGTGCATCCGATTAACCTCAACTGAAGTTCGGATGCTCTCGTGGGCCTTTCCTGACTTTGTTTTGCTTTTAAGCCCGGGTTTGAAGGCTTTATGCCAACGTCGACGAGTATTTTTTTTTCCTCGGTTCCCCCCCCCTGACTCACCCTCCCCGCCGGCTGAGTGCAAAGCCTAAAATCATGGGATTGATCAACCGGTCTCTCAGCGCCATCGACCAAATTTTCTAAAGGAGAAGATCGGGTCGAGGTGAGCCCGCCTGTCCTGACGAGACATTGTTGGCCAAATACGCTACGGACTCCTGGCGGAAATGTAAGATTGTGTGCATGGCAATGCATACATACGTCATTGGAATTCTGACGAAAGGCATTCTGTTTGGCGTTGGCAGTCTCCCCCATTTATTTCTGAGTTAGTACGGGCCACATTAGTGGAGGAAAAGGTTTTTACCTCAAAGCCTTGCATTCGGCCATGGGTGTGCAGACTTTTCATATGGATTGCAGTGTGTTAGATTTACCCAGCAAAGGGACTGATCTCATCCTGGGCAAGCCAGCACTTCCCAGGCCCCGGTCTGGACCTTGGCATCGGGTGGCCCACATGTTCTTCTCTGTGGTGCAATTGCTCCACGGTGTCCTCCACCTCCCCTTCCTCTTCTTCCTCGCCTTCCTCTCTCTCCCAGTGTTTCCTTTTCTGTCCTCCGCCACGCTGATCTTGGACAACTGCCTCAATGGTATCTTTGACAGTATCCCCATCCCAGATTCTGGCTCCTGCCAGCCGATCTCCGACTCTATGCCGGGTTTGGTTTAATTCAACGTCAGGAATTGGTGATGGTGGCGGCGAAGGCAACGGATGCTTTCGGGGGCGCCCGGGGCCCCTCTTTTTCACCATGTTATTTCCTGTACGGGCTTGCCGCTGCAGCTTCTTGGCACGCAGGATTTTGTTGACGTGGTGAAGACTGTGCTTGGATTTCTGCGATCGGTGCGACTGATGGGGAAGGGAGGCATCGAGGCAACAGTCCTGGGAGGGTGACAGGCGGGAAGAGGACACCGGGCCATGGGAGTAAAACATAGGGGACTGGTGATGGAGCTGTTGTCGGTGGTGCAGGGATGCTTCCGGCCCTTCTGATTTCGAGAGTACACCGCCTCTCGTCTGGATGCTTGCCGGCCCTTGGCAAGAAAAATACAAAAACAAACGGACTGAATATACACGTCATGAAATAAAAATGATTCTTAGAGTTTTACAAGAACGAAGAGCAGTAAAATAAGGCGGGGTGGGGGAGACTTAACCATTTACAATTCAATCACAAATGACAAAATGCTAATTCCAAGGGTGATGATTATCCTTCAATCAGCCGCAGGGGATGTGAATATATCAGCACTTAGCTGAAAACCAACCAACCGTACTGAACCATTTCAATCGGTGCCCCAAAAATATGGCAAAGACAATTGGTAAGGACCAGTTGTTGTTATGTTACAATTGTGACAAAACCAAAGGGCGGTGGACACGGGGGAATCCAAAACAAAAACATTGTTTCAGATTATTTTTCAGTCTTGAACTCAGCCTACGCTTCTCTGTATGTACGTCGATGCGAGCGAGACTGTGTCTATCACAGCATCATTTGAAGACATACGCAGTCGAATTTAACAAGGCCCTCAGGCTGTGAGAGAGGCTGAGAATGAACATAAGTCATCCACGATATCATGTCCTGAACGATGGTTAGCTGAAAACAGTGTTGTTGACTCTCTACTGCTCTTGGTCTCGTTTTCTGTCAAACGCATTTCTCCCAGGAAACTCGACTTGGACTCCAGGGCTATTTACGTGTGTGTTTGTTTTTTCCGTGAAAACATTTTTTGATTGATGCAATTTATACTTATTGTCGACTTATCCCAAAAATGCGGTCTTTCCAGTCACTCATTTTGACAGTAACCTCAAAAATAGCCCAATAAAACGTGATTTGTCAATCTGTTAAGTGGATGATGTAGATATTGTAATAATGGTGAGACAGGCATGATTTCAGGCAGTTTCTTAATTTTGTCCAACCTTTCCCTTTTGCTGACTAAATGGAATTCACAGCCTTCAATCAATCTTTCCTCATTTGTTTTTGACTTTTTCATTTCCATTCCCCACCGAGTCCATTCCCTGACCGCCAAATGACCCCGAATCCTGAGTTCTAATCCAGGATTACCCTATCTCGGTTTGAAGTTAGAACAGTAGCATTCTGCCTCAACAGAATCCTTAATTCCACAACTGAATTGCACACACAAAAAGCAAACGTTCAACAGTAAAATAAAAACACATACCGCTGCCCGCATGATGAGGCCAACCTATGACTGAGGCCCTATCTTCACCACAACAACAACAAAAGCTCAACGCTGGCGTTGGATATGCAAAACACTTGGACGAGGTCTCATATTATGGCCTTTCAAAATAAATGTAAGACAAAAATAGGCCTGTAAAGAAAATACTCCACCCCTCCGGAAAGATGGCAGAAACGCTACATCAACAGTAGTCATCCACATTTTCAATGCAGTCATGATGTATTTTTGCCAAGACCATAACCACTACTAAGCGCTACCAAATGTCAGGGAGTGTGTGCAAAGATTATGTTACAGTCTTTCAAAGAGACGTCTCCCCAGAAACAACTTTTTATGAGGCCAGAAACGCCGCCGCACATCGAGCGAGACGGTTGAAGTGGGCTATCGTGAAAAAAATGACAGTTGCTGACTCTTCGTCGCACACCAAGCAAGTGAGCGCTACACATCAACCAACACACTGCAACAAAAACACTGCAAGCCCCTTAATCTGGTTATGAGACTACACATGTGCTGTCCTGGATTTTTTATTTTATTTTTTATTAAACCACAAAAACATGGTGCAATTGTCAAGGAAGAAGTGTTTGGCCATAAAGAAGAGCAAATGGGAGAAAATAAGAGTGTTTTTATGGATATTTACAGAGGCTGTCGGCAATGATCAGTTGCCCCAATCCCTAACTGTGACACGCATAGAAATATAGTATTGATTGATAAATGTACCTCTCTCTGCCTCTCTATATGTGTTTGGGGAAGCAAACCCTGACCCCGGAATTCTGTGTGCTGTCGTCAGCGGCTACATTAGAATGATAGATTTGTGCCGCAATTGCAAATTTCAAATTTGCAGCACAAAAGTGTGCTTTCAGTGCACAATATCCATTTCTGTGAAACTTTGTCTGCTTAACCAGCAAAGAAGACATGCCAAACCAACTAAGTGTGTGCATGCGACGATCAGATATTTTTAAAAAATTTCCCCCCCTCCCGATAGTTTATACTTTATTGGGAGATTGAATTGCTGTTAATTTGACCTTTCATCAATTTGAATCGTTTTTTGTCGTGACTGAAACATTTTGACTGGCGTTTGCATTCGCAGAGTCACCCGCTCCCTCAATGTAATAACGAGGTCAAGCGATGCGCACTTTGAACAAATGAAGATTTTGTCAGTGGTACACTTTTACCGTCACATTCTGTGATTCTGTCAAAAATGAAGTGGGCAATGCAAACACGCCGACCTTGTGTTGCATTGAAACAAGTTCTGAAACCTCATCCTTGTAGCGGTGTTGTATAAACTGATTGTAACGCAAGTTATAGCACCAGTGTGATAACCTATAAAGCTCGCCGGCCGCAATATTCCAATGCTGGCGTGAGAGCTATTTTGAGCAATTTCACATTTAACAATGTCGAGCAGAATTTGGGTCAAAGACTTCTCCGGTGCGATGACGTCGACGAAAGTAGCCATGTCCAGCATATGCTCTTTTCCACTGGCAATCTAAGACATCATTTTCACAGCATTTTCATTGCTCTGGAAGTCCCAAGAGCATCACACACCACATGAGGCAAATTCGACTTACCTAATTCTCTTCTCTCGGCCAAGACGGAGCGGTCTTTTCTTAATGTCCGGTCCATACGGGGGAAGCAGGTATTCTCCGGCGCCGTCTCATTCTTTCTGTTCCTGCACCCCTTCAAGTTAGTGCGAGTGAGAGCGGAGGCAAAGAGATTTGTGAGATTTGGAGGATCGTGGCCTCTCGGCTCCACGTCTTCTCTGGGTGTGAGAGGTCCCTCGTCCTCACTGTCAGAGCAAGCGGGAAGTTCTTCCGGCCTTCCATTTGAGAAGCGCCCCTGACCGGGCAACACATGGCGACGTGAAAGCTTGGAGTAGTCGGCCTCAGAGGAGCCCACTCTGAACCAGGACTCTGTTGGGGGCTGGCTTTTGGAGCTGCTCCCCAAAGCTAGCCTGGAGGGTCCAAGACAGGAAATTGAGCTTTCTTTGCGCTTATACCTGTCTGCAGAAGATGAGGAGGAGGAAGAAGGGGAATTGGCTAAAGTGACACCCGCTTGCTTGGCCGCGCCGTTGCCGGAGGTGCTCCGGCCAAAGCGGCATCGTTGCAAAGACTCCGCCATTCCCAAGTGAGCAACTCTCTCTCCTTTCCCCGATGCTCCGCTGTCAGACAAACCGGCGCCACCACGATTTACAGGTCCGCCCACTGTTTTTTCTTCCTCTTCCCTGCCCTCGTCGGCACATCGCTCTCTGTATCTGTGTCGGTGTTTGTGTTTGTGGTGCCAGTTGAAAGACAGCTCCGAGGACATGGGTGGGTAAAGAACAGGAGACCGGCCTCCGAGGTACTCCTGCCGAAGCAGCTTGTGTTTTTTCTTGTGGAATTTCGAAGGGTTTAACAGGAGATGAGAGGGGTGGTGATGATGCATGTAAGATGTAGGGGGAGCAGGGGGAAAAGTTGGCGAGTGATGAGAGTGGTGAGATGAGGCCGTGTGGGGTGACTGGTGGTGGGGGTGAGGATACAGAGCACTGGCCGGAGGGTAACCCCTGTAATAGCCCAGGCCAAGGGGTCCGGAGGAATAAGGAACACTGTAAGAAGGATGGTAGAAGCCCCCACTGGAAAGAGGGAATCCGAGCCCTGGTACAAAAGGAACCTCTGACATGGAGTCTCTGAGTTTTGGTGGTCGCCCACGTTTCTTTTTCATGTCTGGTTTACGGACGTAGTGCAACGGATCACAAGTGTACGCAGGATGGGAATAGAAGCTGCCAAAATTAACCCGGAAGATGGTGGGCAGGAGATCTCTGTGAATGTAATGATGAGGTGGGGGGCCACTGGTCGCACCCATGCCACTGGCGCGGTTGCCTCCTCCCGGCAATCGAGTTGCCCCCGCTGCTATGCCGCCACCAAGACGGTGCCCAGTGGTACGATGCGCGATGCGAATTTCACTCATCCTTATGATAATCTCGTCCAGTTCAGCAAGAAAGTTGGGGTCGATCCGCCGAGAGCGGAGTTGTAGGTATTTCTTCTTGCGTTTCCTTTTCTGTCTCTTCAGCTTTTCGTAGCCTGGGCACCCATGGCTACGGCGCTTGCATTTATGCTTATGTTTTTCCTTGTGGCCCAATATGGAGGTAGACGGGGCTGCTGGGTGAGGTCGCCGTGGCTCAGGTGATAACCTGGCCATATGTGGCGAGGGAGAAGGCGAGGGATGGTCCACGAGCAGAGCGGAGTGGCGTCGGCTGCCTCTTGCGTTAAGTGCCAAACCTGGCCCCATTGATGAGCCAATAACACCGGGCATTAATAAACCACCACTGAGCCCGGCGGCTATGCCCAATCCACCCAAAGCGCCTGCTCCTCCGGCTTTCTCACCGCGGTCCGAGGTGCTGTTGTTGTCTGTTCCTATGCCACTGTCACTGGGTACGGTCTCCTCGCTGTGGGACTCGCTCACTGGGGATGGGGTGGCTTCTTTCAGCTCACTCAGGGGCGCTGGGGAGGTGGGATGTAGTGGCCGAGGAGGGGACAGCTTGTGACAGTGGTAGTGCTGCCTGTAGTGGGGGTGGTGGTGGTGGTGGTGGTGGTGGTGATACCCACGGAACGACGACTTTTTCTGAGAGGTTGGTGTGGCCGGGTTAAAAGAGGAGCCGAGGACTGGACTGCGGAGATTTGGAGCTGAAAAAGTGGGCGGGGGGAAAGCAAATGTGCTGTGACTGTTTGAATAGTGAGGATGACCGGCAAAGTGCACTGAGCCCGGCTCCACAAAGCCGCCCTCGCTGATAGGACTATGGCCTCCGCTCGACTGTGAGAGGGAAGGTGAAGGAAAGATTTCCGAGGAGGAATGCTGGTGCTGTTGCTGAGATGGATGGTGATGCAGAGGAGAAGTCATGCTCGGGGACAAGAAGGGTTCCGGCGGAGCTGTCGTCGCTGTGCCATGAACCATTTTGGGTTTACGCCCTCTCCTCTTGCCCATATATATTGTGCCTTTCTTGCTCACGTTAATTTGTGGCCCAAGTTTTCCCCCAAGAGAGGCGGCCAGGGAGGACAAAGAATGAGTTGCGGCTTCCGCAGAGCCAACCACTGCCCTTGGAGACACTTTGGGGGGGTCTTCTTTTCTTGGTCCTAACAGGATTTGACTGAGAATACGCTTACGTTTCACACTCTTCATCTTGTTGATCTTGCCGATGATTGTTTTCATAATAAGCTGCCCATTTCCTTTGCTGTGGTACCGTTTGTCCCCGACGTCCCCTGCTTCGGGAGCCAATGTGGGAGGCTGACTCTCTTCGGGTAAGGTCGGTGGAAGGCGCTTGGGGCGCCCACGTTTTCGGGCGGTAGGCTTCGGGGGGTTGATGTCAACCTCTGGATGGAGCACAGGAGGGTCTTGCTCTTCTTTGGACTTTAAAAAAGTGGAATAAACCTTGGATGCGGCTAATTTGCTATGGGGGCGCCCATGGGATGGGGCATCAAGTCTGGGCATCGTCGCCTTTGGCCTTCCCCTTTTTTTGGGCTGGGATGACGAGGTAAAGAGACGTGACATTGAACTTTGTGGCAGAGTATTTGGTTTCATTCTATTTGGATTTGGAGGTCTCCCCACGGGTCTCTTAAGCGGAGATGACGTTTCCAGGCTGGAGGATAAAGGCATGGTGGTTTTGCTCGGGTCAAACGGACTGTCGACGTCTGCTCTTTGATCGTGTACCTTGTTCATAGCACGGCCCCAGCGTGGCTTCCTTCCTCTGCGCTTTTTAAGGGGCTTACTGTCCTGCTCTGTTGCAGAGTCTATGGACGAATCGGGAGAATCATCCCGAAGGGGAGTCCGAGGGCTGCCTTCGCCTTCTGGCTCGGGTGGAGACGATGCCCAAGGCCTTCCAGGTTCTGGGGGGCTGATGAGCCGACCGACACGACTGCTGTCCCTATTGGGACTATGCTTAGTTGGACTTGAGCTCTTGTCACCCTCACCTCGCAGTGATTGATTGCTAGCACTTTTGTCTCTCCCTTCAGGCCTTGCTGTTCCTGTCGCAGGACCGCAATTGCTCACATCTCTGGGGCTGCCGTGTTGTCTCAGACTTGCAATGCTTTCCTCTGCAGGAACGGGGGTCTCTCCTGCGCGGTCTGCTTGTGAGGCAGCAGGGGAGCCGAGATGACTCAGAGTCCTCTGCTCAGCTGTGGTGGTAGAAGAGGACGAAACAGGAGAAGTGGACAAACCTGAGGTGTGGGCTGAGAAGTGACCAGGACGAGACGGCAGTTTAGGAATGCTATTAACGTTGTCATTGTTAGTGTCCTTGGACATGGAAGGCAGTCTGTTATTGCCATAGAGGAGTGCTGGGCTGCTGCTGCGACTACTGCTGCTCATGAGAATACCGCCGCTGTTTGGTTTGCCAGTTCCATCCGTGTCTTCCTTCCTTGTTGGTGTCAAGGTGGGTGAGTTTTCCAGAGCCATGTCTTTGTTCCGAGAACCGTAGGGCCGGCCAGGTGGCCGTGACACTGGTAGGGGGGGAGAGAGGTGAACCACTCTTGAATAGGTATTCCTATTGGCCATAGCCCTGTCTCGCTGCTTGGCTGTGGGTGTCATAAAACCTGAGCTTGGGTGGGAAGGAGCGGGGTCCGTCTTGGCAGGTTTGACAGGCTTTGCGGTCTTTGATGGCGGGCAAGTGGCGATGAGTTGAGCTAATTTTTCAGTGACGGTCGGCGCTCCCCAGCTTTGAATTGCCTTCTCTTTATCTCGTTGACCTTCGTTGCTGTATGTATGTTGTGGGGGTTTGACGCCTTCGCAGCTAGGTTCCTTAGATGCAGGTAATGGTGAGGAGGGTGCTGATGACCGAGGGTTGGGTTGCAGAGTTGGTGTTTTCTTCCCGGAAGGATGAAGTTTGCTGTCTGGGAGAGGCCGATGAAGATTCAGGGGCCGTTCAGATGTGGCATTAGCTGCTTTAGCGTCTGACTTTGTGTCAGACAGACAATCCATCTTTGGTGGAGCCTTCAAAAAAACAAAACAAAAGAAAACAGAATCATGATTGAATTGTCTTTCAAAATGTTGATACCAAATAAAGCTATAGAAATTTGCCACTCATTTTGAGTGACCCCCCCCCCGAAAAAAAAAATCATTATTGCTATTTTCCAAGGATAAATTTGACAGAATTCATCAAATCTGTCAAACGCAACTTCAACTGGCAAAGTGGACAAAGGCAGGGAGAGTATGTACATCAAGGCACACTACACTTCTTCAGGTCAGACTGGGTGTCGACAAGAAGGGAGTGCTGCGGTTGAGAGGTCAAATCGGGCGGGGGATGGGGATAAAATGGGAGGCAGCAACAAATAGATGGCAAAAGATCGGTGTTGCCACTCGTTACATGAAATGCACTTCAGAAAACCAAACTATTGCATTAAATCGATTTAAACCAGACTCTGAAAATGCACCATAACTCTATAAGCTCACATGTTCAATTTTTTTACATTTGGAATTAAACACCGTAGCACCCACGGAAGCCTGGTGGGGGCCATAAAAAAAATAAATAAATAATGAATTCACTTGACATCATCTTAAGAAGTGAATATTCTAAAGCCTTTCGATTGTAGGAAAATGTCATGGATTATCTTTGAAACTTTTTTTGCTTTTTGCTCATGTCGCGGGCCACCGAAAAATGGATGGCGGGCCGCAAATGGCCCCCGGGCCATAGTTGGGACACCACTGCAGTACAAGATAAAATGTTGCTCTCAGTTACTTACGAGCCGGACAATTCCTTGTTTGCACTTACCCGTTTTCCCGAAGCGCTCCCATTGACTTGAGGCGGTGCCACGGCAGCTGTGCTGGTCAGTGGAGGTCCAGCAGCCGGGAGTGATGTTGGGACTTTGGAAGATGGGTTTGATGAGGATAGTGCGACTGGTCTGTTGACACTTGGACTCTGCTCCTTCTCTTTTTCCCTGACGTGAGAAGGACTCTGACTCTGGCTACCTGGCCCATCGTTTGTATTCCCTGCACGATTTCCTCGAGCGCCACCTCCTCCCCGTCCGGGATTCCGCATTGTAGCCCGGAAAGCTGGTCTGCAGACATAATTCTCCAAGATCTTGGGAGGTTTTTTCATGCGTTTTGCTTGGAGACCAATCTTCAGTTTGACATTGCCCTCGGATAGGCTGCTCTCCTTGATGGAGAATTGCGACTGGTCACCAGCACCACCTTGAGCAGCTGCTCCCGTTTCATCCGATACACCGGAAGCCTCTTTCTCTTTGTCCCTCTTCTTGTCCTCCTCATCTTCTTTCTTTCCAACCCCTCCTTCTTTCTCCCGCTCCCCGGTAGGAACACCTGAGAGAAGAGGCGGCGGCGGCGTTGCCGTTCTGCCGTGAATCTTCTGATCCATAAGGGTAGGGCAACGTGTACCCTCGGAAGAATACAGGAAAGGGGCCCGGGGAGGGAAGGACGAGGGAAAGGGGGAGAGGGATAACAATGAGGTCGAAGCTCTCCTTTTTTTCCCCCCTGAGAGGGTTTCTATCCTTCCCCGTCAGTTCGGCCCTCTTACTCCGTCCTTGAGCTGTCGTTGTTGTAGAAGTAGTAGTGGGGAAATGCGGGGTGGGGGAGAGAAAAGGGGAGAAGGCAAAAACAAATGTTCATTAATGTCGACAACCATACAGAGGGACATTTGTATCTGTTTTTGTGAAAGGTTATCCAACCAAACACACTTTTTACAATCCATTCTGGATGGCTGTACCGTTTTCTTTCACCAACAATTCCTATAGCTTCCCATTTCAACTGTTTCCTCTTGAGGCGTCTTCATTTTAGGGCATTTCACAATTCCAAAACTTGGACAACTAGTGTTTGTCTCATACCTAGTTAGTTGGTCTAAGCTCATTAACGCACAGCCGTGAACCTACTGTATTATGTTGCATGCTAAAATGCGAGCTGCTCACGTGAAGTTGCGCAACATTCAACCGGCCCGTTATATTGTCGGAATTTTGCTTCAGCTCTCTGGGATTAAGCCAGGGGAAAAAAAGCCCCTCAAAGGTAGTCATTTGCACCTCAAATGAAGGCATTTGATTAGCAAAATTGCTCTTCAAAAATCTAACTTCAAGCTACCTTGCACGCTTCAACTACCCCAATCGCCACTCGTCTAAATGCACTCATACCAGCGGCTGCAGGACCCTGGAATAGAACGAGGGCAGTGATGCTGAGTGACGTTTTTGCATGCAACAGGCAGATAACTGGCTGCCCTGGATGTCAATCAATTGAGACAAGTTTCACAATGGATGGTAGGTGGGAGTCGACATGTTTTGTTTTGTTTTTTTATTCTTTTAACTCGACAATAAATGTACTTCTCTTTGTTTTAGGTGTCAGTGTAACAGTAAACTTTAAAAGTATGAGTCGTAGCGCAATTTGGATTTGACTTTTTCTTTCCATAGCTGCTTCAGACATTGTTGTCCCTCCGGCTTGCCGTACTGCTCAATAAAGAACGCAGCAGTCACAGTCCTCCACTATTTGGTCTTTCCACATCAAAAAATGATATGCATATTTTACAGGAGTAGCAAATTGACAGCTTGAAGCAAGCACACGGAACCTCTTTTTGGAGAACTGTTTGCTATCTCCCAAACTGCTCAGAAGTCCCAGCACTGAAAACCCCTTGTATTGTTACTGTCACCGGCTACACCGTGCAACCCGAGGAATTTGTCCAAAGCTCTTTAAAACTTCGAAATGATTGAATGCAGATCCGCGCAAAGCAGGTGCTTTCTACGGGTGAAGTCATTTGGAGGCAATTGAGAGCTGTGACCTCAGCACTTTGGGACTTCTGGGAGTGCACAGAGGATGTCTATGTTTTCCTCTACCTTCACCAGCAGTAAATGAAAGTGAGCGATAGCGCGTCGACATGACGGCGGTTTCTCTGCCCCCCTACATTAAAGGAAAACACTGAGGTACATCCAGAAGGGAGCCTACAGAAAGTCTCACATAATTCATCACCATGCATTTGACAAGAGACAAGTCATCTCCCTTTTTATTCTCTTTGTCCCGTGTTTGTGTTGGCTGAGGGATCGTAGTCGATGCTTCTTAGCCATACAACAAATCTTGGGCTATATTTGGAGTGTGATCTGCAGCTCATCCACACCCACTTCTCAGAGTTTACATCAATTACTCCTTCCATTTTACCTCCAAACAACACAGCAGGCACACGACATACACACACACACACACACATATATTATATATATATATATATATATATCCAAAAGACAAGTAACACCTTCCTTGCTTTTAACATTCCGTCAATCTCCATTCTCACCATTTTCAACCTTTCCTTCTTCCTCCTTCCACAAACGTGCAAAGCGGCAGTCATAGCACATAAACGGAAGCAATTGTGGTCCCAATAATCAAACACACATTTCGCACGCCACTCAGGCTAGCTTTGTTCCCCACTTGCTTCTCTCACAGAGTGACAAATGCTGTATAGGACTTTGATACGAAATGTCAAATGATATTGGTGGCACGAGCTTACTGACAGACACTATGTGTGAGACAAACCCAACACACAGTGGTCGGCTTTTCATAGAGACATTTTTGCCATTCCAATTGAAATCACTCAGACTGAAGAGCTGTGGTCAACAGTTTTCGAGATGTATTCCGATCCGCCGTTTACATGCGCCGCTATGACCGTTTTGAATGATTTGAACTGGGGTTTCGGTTTAGGTCACCTTTGGTTTTGTTTCCTCATGTGCCCTTTTTGTCAGCACCTGTTCTCGTCATCAGTGTCCCTTGTGTTTCACCAATCAGCTCCCTCAACCCTTTCGGTCCTGTACAGGTGTTCCTCGTTGTCTTGTCACTTTTACTTGTATTTAATTCCCTGAGTTCTGTCAGTCTTTGGTGGGTCATTGCGAGTATGTGAGTTGTTGAGTATGCGAGTGTCTGTGTGCTCAGCTCCTGTCACGGGCTTCTTTTGTTACTTTGGCTCCTTGTGATTTCCAGGTCTTTGTTTGAGCACTTGTAGTTAGGAATTTTCCAGTGTACGCCCGTTTGTATTTTTGTGAAATACATCTTGGTCAGTTCCACCCTGCTCCTCCTTGCCTCTTGCCTGCTTTTTGGGGTCCAACCACGACTCCACCATCATGCCACGACGTGACAGTTTCATTTCATAGAGCAGCGAAAACAATATTTAGGGAATGCCGTTGCAAGGTAATAATCCATCAAATGATATACAAGCGATGTGACTCATCAGGCGTTAGTGGCTGTTCACGCGACATCCTCGTCATATTTGCAAGATTGTTGTGTTACTTTTTTCAGTTGTGACGCGCACATATTTCTGCTAACCATGCTGTGTGAATTTGATACATAGACGTTCCATGTTCGAGTGTATGGGTCGGATTGTCCGACTGAAAGCAGTTGAATGGATCGATCGCTACCCTCCGCTGGCAGTGTGGCTCATTACAACTACTCGAAAAACTAAAAATATTTGACGCATCTGTCGGCAATAAGCATGGAAAGCTATTTAATGAAAAAAGAAAACAATTGAAAAATCACTCAGCCAACAACAGGAGAAATGGCATGGCAACTTCTCACGGTGCCTCCCCTTACCTAGCCTTTCCAACCAATTCCTTGCCATCTTACTTTTGCGCACGTTCATAACCGCTCATTTCCCTTCGACTGGAGCAGCATACAATGTTGCCTACAGCCACCTCACTCGCATGAGGCCTCCAAACCAGAGCGTGTCGTTTCTTTCATGCTTTTTGCTCCATGGGAAATCATAGCAAATAGTCTGCTTAAACAAACAAGCAACAGATAATGCTTTGACAGAACTGTGTTTAACATAATGAATCAGCAAATATGGTGAAAAGCTGCTTTCAACTGGATAGTTTGTGTAGATGTGTTGCCTGTAACCTTTCCCTGAACTCTACCTTTACCCACAACCCCAGTTCTTATCTCTACTTGGCCTCACCACAATCCAACCTGATCCCTCACCCTGACAGAGCAGAGCGGTGGGGGGCAGGGGGGGTATCTTCAGAGGGAGGGAAAGCAACATGGATGACAGGTGTCAGTTGAGCCAGCACATTTCAAACATCCTCTGCATGTGCGAGCAACGTGAAGCTCATTCCACTGTGGCAAAAAAGCGTCTGTACAACCCAAACAGTAAGGGGGGGGGGGTGTCTGCATCATCAACTCTGCAATAGTTTTATTTTTTTTTCAGGCATACTACAATTGCCTGACCAAAAGTAAACACATTCACGTTTCCTATCCATCTTATTTACCATCTGTTTGAAATTGCACATGTGGACTCACCTCTTGTCGTCGTCCAGAAATGGTGTTCACATTATTTGGCTCCGTGTCTTTCCTCGTTTGTGGCAATGTGGTGGCCACGCATTACTCCAAGTGCTGAAGTGGCAAAATATGACACGAAATGTAAGCTGTTGGAAGGGGTTTGCACAAATATGAGATCGCTCAAAGGCACGGACCGGGAGCTACACCGCTGACAGTGGTCACGTGGGGCGCGTTATGTTACGCTGTTATCGTTTGTGGCGCGGAGAAGGGTGCCAAATATTAGCCCGGCGAAAGCGCCCAAAACACCGCCAGACGAAATGTCCCCTCGAAATGTATGACTTGGGGGACGATGGCGTCGTCGCTGCAGTGCTAAATATAGCGCTAACCAATGCATTGTGTGACATAATTGGAGTAATAACGGAGTAGCGCGAATTCACCCCGAAAAGCACATCGCATCATCTCGCGTGAATGATCCCGATAGCGACCTTCTTGTTATCGATCAGCCTCGGACTGTCTAAAAGACGACAGGGGCTATTTTCATCCAACAAGCGTTCGATTAATAACCTACGCGGGCTTGAGTCGCGAATTCCAACAGTCTTTCAACAGTCGTTTGAGCCGTCCCGAGTCGTCAGACAAACATTCATGTAGTCATTGGGTCATTTGTCTTTCGGGACGGGATTACGACTATGACAGCGCAGGACAAGTGATGTACCTAGCCGTACATTTCCGTCACATTCTCGCAGGCACTCGTGTTACTACATCTCAGCTACCATGGCTAACGATGCACTAGCGAGCCCGCTAAACCACACGCACATAAAATATTAGCAAGTAGCCACGAACACAAATCGTGAAATTCAAATCTCATCAAACCTAGCGCATAGGTGTGTACAGTTACAACATTGCTACGGTATAACACAACAAATGTGCACTACCGTGTTAGTTCAGAAAAAAAACTGTCAACAAAATGGCGGCTACGTTGAATCAACACAGAGCCCCGAAATGGATCTTCCTCTTAAATCCTTTTTGGGAGGTAAAATCCTTCTTCCTTACAGCGAGTGGTAGTCTGTATTTCTTCGGAGATCTTCCGAAAATCCACTCCGACGCTGTGTTAGCGGAACCTAGATGTGTCAGCACGGGGCCCTCTCGTTGGTCGGGCCTCCATGTCGGCTCAGCCCGTGTCGCTACAGTGTCAGCCCAACACGGGCTTTCTCAGGCGCGGGGGGGGCGAGTGGAGGAGAGCAAAGAAGGGAGAAAACGTCACTTGCTCGCTTGCACAGAGAACAAAGTCTAACGTTTACTAATTTGTCCACATTTATTTAAGTGTATCTCCCGCGGCTTTTTCCACGCTGTTGGCTTTTCCCGAACGCGAGAATCCGGTGGCAGCTGTCACACGAAGTGCTTGTCAACGCCACGTCAGGTATCTCTTAGGCGAATCCATTAATCATTGTGCTGGTCGTGTTCCATTCAAAGTGGGGCCCAGACCAGTCGATGAATCAATAATTCATCATCCCAACTACAGTATGAGCAAAACAATATCTTGTTTCAGGTTCTCAGTTGCATCAGATCTGGTCTCTGTTCCATATTTTCATACCGTTTGAGGGTCTTCATTTGACACATCACTTGAATTAAAACTCTTGCACGAGGTCAAGTACGCACGCACGCACGCACACACACACGCGCGCGCACACACACACACACACACACACACACACACACACACACACACACGCCGAGCTCGCCAAGTTGGCAACTAACTCCCAAGTCTTTCCTCCTCTGTTACGGATATCAACTCGTGTGAGAAAAGTGGATATTGGAGCAGTCACTCTTTATTCTTGATGGATTTTGAGAGAATGCTAGCGACCTTTTGTCTCGCATTTAAGATTGAAATAAGTGTAGAATATCTAGATATATTTTTTCCCCATTATACAAGAAGCGGTCATGTGGTAAATCTGAAAAACCTAAATTCTGTGATCATACATTCCTTGAGACTACAAAAGTTTTAACGTGACAAAATGGTTCTTACTTTTGTTTTAGTTGTGTATACTTTGTACTGGACCCACGTCCCAAAAAACATAACTACTTACATTCTGGGAGGTTTTGGAAAACAGAATTCGTCTCCCCCCAAAAAGGATGGAAAAAAAAAACTACAGCGTCCACATTTGGGAAATGTCCTCAAGGCCCGAGGTCGAAGTCAGCCAAAGCATGCGCTGATTGCAAACCTTGGACGAAGTGCCTGCAAAAGTTGCGCTTTTACGTCTAAGCTCTTGTGGCGGAAGGTGGGCATAAAGAAATGATCAAACTTTAATTGCGGCTTCACAAACAGGAGCGTGACGCTGATTCAGATCAAGCGGATACATTAGGTCACCGTCTTCGTCACAGTCTTCATGTAAAAAGTGTCGTTTCCCAGGGAATTCTGTCCGCTGGCGGCTCGGTGGCGACAAGTTCCGAATCAGCCGTTGAGGAAAGCAGCGACGAGCATTGTGGTCTCGCAAAGCTTACTGCCGAGATGAGTTAGTGCGTAGAAGAAAAATGTGCCACGCTAAATGTGCAAATGAAGTGACAGTTCAAGCTGCAAGTCACGGCCACGATCATCGCCAGGAAGGAGGTGAAGTTGCCGTTAACTCAGATGGCCTGCCTGCCCTGTTGTTCTGTCCTCATGGCGCGAGCTTCGGGAGGTTGCGTTGCGGGCAGGAGGAGGCTGTTGTCAACACCGTCCAGGCTTTTTCGGCACACTGGACAAGTATCGTGCTGGAAGAAGGAAAACGATCAGCCTGCTGAACTCCCGTCGCAGCGTTAGCATCACTGATAGTCCATCAATATTTGAAACGAAAAATGTCTGCTACTAGATAGCCACAATGTCTCCCATCAGGCTTCCTTGAGGCAACTTGTTTTGACTTTGGATCTACCTGGAGGTTACTTGAGTCATTTTTTTGGACCACTTTTTACTCTTTCCTGCCTCCATTTGAAAACAGTTGACGACGATACAGAACATATTTCGAAAAGGAAACGAGCTTTCAGGTGTAAGAGAATGTCCATTTAATCTGGAAAACAAAAACGTAAAAGATGTGGTGTGGTTTTTTTCAGTTCTCATTCGCCAAAATCACATTTTTTTCTTAACCAACATCATTTTTTTGTTCATTACGAGCACTATGCAAGTTTAAAAAAAAAAAGTGTGTGTATGTGTGTGAATGTTGGGGAATATCGTTTTGTGCAGCTTTTTGTCGTGCCATGTTATCCAAACGGCCATTGTATAAAACTGAATTCACAGCCGAAGACCCAGTGACTCAAAGCCGGTGTTCCTACTTACCAACTCAAGCCAGGGCACGATACATTCACTGTGGAAGAAATGGAGGCAGGGTAGCTTGCGGGCAGATTCGCCCGGTGAATACTCCTCCCTACAAATTGTGCACTCCAGTCTGCAGTCTGCGAGAGAGGAATCGAAAACGAACTAAGCGCTTTTTGTCGACGCGCGTTGACACAAAATAAGCAAGAGGAACTGAGAAGACCACTGCGAATATTTTGTTTGTTGTTTTCTCGCTGCCAAGTTATCAATACGCCGTGTCCAATTGGCATTTGTGATTCATTTTTACTTTTGACAGTAGTACCTAAGGCCATAATGTGTGTCATAATGAGATTCCCACCTGTTTGCTCTTGAGAAATGCAAACTGTCGGCAACGATGAGATCATGTTCTTTTCAGCAGGGGGTGGACCCGTGTTCTCCAACTGTCCTAACAACTGGGAGGACAACAACAAGTAGGGCTGTCGTGGCAGAACACGCTTTGCATTTCAACCGCATTTGTATTTTGGTCGCGGACCTGCTTCAAAAAATATCCCACCAGTGAAGGGACATTGTCATGTCCTTGTAATGTTGTCGAAGCGAAAAGGTAAAATGATCCTTATATTTCCTACTTTGTTAAATCATTGTGGATAATATTGTGAGACAAAAAAAAAAAAAAAAAAAATCGGCGATTAAAAGGGGTGTTGATTGAAAGGCGACATGTTGCTGCCGTTAGATGTCACGGATTTGTCCAGTGATGCAAGCACCCGGTTGGAATGCGGACAAGGTATTTGTGTTGTTTGGTTAGTTTCTTGATTATTTCTTAAGATGTGACTTAGCCAGCGAAAGGTTATTTGTATTGCAGTTACGCTAATGACAGCCTCTCATCGGGTATTGTGTCGTGTTGCTCGCTTTCTGTTAGGCCAAACACTTTGCCGTGTCTGGCTACAGTTGTGTCAAATGACTATTTGCCTATTTATGTTTGATATTGTGACTTTCACGCCCCCGAGGTGTTTCTATAATGGAAACAAGACTTGTGGAAGGAAGCGTCTGGGTCCGCTACAAGGTGTGTGTACTCGTCTACGCCTCAAATCGTCGTCAAAACGTCAAGAGAAATTCAAGACTGCGTTGCGAGTCCAGAGAGAAGAGATCTAATCTGACCTCTGTGATGACTGTATCCAGGCCTCCCTGACCCCATGCATAGTCTGCCGGGTTTGAATACAGTTGTAGCATGCTCGATCTACTCCATCGAGAGAAACAGAAAGTACAAAAGGAGGCCGTTTGGTCACTTCTTGGGAGATGAAATCAGAAAAGGATTAAAAGAGGCGCTTACAATGCAGCCGGTGCAGCGCTGGAGTTTCCATTGGTTGTCAACAGGTCGGCCAAGAAGTGCTGCACGATCCTTGAATGGGCAAAAAAACAGACGGTAAAAACGGTTGCCCCCAAATGAGGCCGGGGCACCTTTAGCCGATGATGTTGCGTCGCGTCCAGTCTCGCGTACACACACACACACACACACACACACACACACACACACACTATATATATATATTTTCCCCCACAAGTGAACAAATCCAATGACATGCAATAAAGTAACCAAGGCATTCCGTCACAAAGGTTTGTGAGTAATCACAAAAACCTTGCTGAATTGCCAAATCGCGAAAACTATTAACCACATTGGGCATGATTAAACCAAGACATTTCTTGAGCAATTCAGTAACTTATTCCAAAATATGGATCATACTCATTCGCTTGACTGGCTGTTTGCCTGTGTTGATTGGCAACCAGTATCCCCCAAATGAGGCTGGGGCGCCTTTAGCCGATGATGTTGCGTCCAGTCTCGCACGCACACACACACACACACACACACACACACACACACACACACACACACACACACACACACACACACACACACACACACACACG